AACAGGAGCAGTCAGACGGCTGCTGTGTCACCAGTAATGAATGTTTTCTGTGTGTCCGACGAGCCATTTCAGAGGTGCTTGTGTGAAACCACAGCTCAGCACTGGCTAAAAGGAAGCTCTTCTGGGAGGGGGTGTCTCTGTAGCCTGATGCGCCTGAGCTTTGCTTGCAAGCAATAAGCAGGAAGCAGTGACCGTAATCTAATATGAAAATGGCTCTCTTCCAGGTCAGAGCGGCGCAGGAAACAACTGGGCAAAGGGCCATTATACGGAAGGTGCTGAATTAGTTGATTCTGTGTTAGATGTTGTAAGGAAGGAGGCAGAAAGCTGTGATTGCCTCCAGGGCTTTCAGCTTACTCACTCTCTCGGTGGTGGTACGGGCTCAGGTAGGGGTACCGGCCTCATCAGCAAAATCCGTGAAGAGTACCCAGACCGAATTATGAATACTTTCAGTGTCGTTCCATCCCCTAAAGTGTCAGATACTGTAGTAGAGCCCTACAATGCCACACTCTCGGTTCACCAGCTTGTGGAGAACACAGATGAAACATACTGTATTGATAACGAAGCTCTCTACGACATATGCTTCAGAACACTGAAGTTAACTACTCCAACCTACGGTGATCTGAACCATTTGGTGTCGGCCACCATGAGCGGTGTTACCACCTGCCTGCGGTTCCCAGGCCAGCTCAATGCTGACCTGCGGAAGCTGGCAGTCAACATGGTTCCTTTCCCCCGTTTGCACTTCTTCATGCCTGGTTTTGCCCCGCTCACCAGCCGCGGGAGCCAACAGTACCGGGCTCTGACCGTGCCAGAGCTAACGCAGCAGATGTTCGATGCAAAGAACATGATGGCTGCGTGTGACCCGCGGCACGGCCGCTACCTGACCGTGGCTGCTGTGTTTAGAGGCCGTATGTCCATGAAAGAGGTGGATGAGCAAATGTTAAACGTTCAGAACAAAAATAGCAGCTATTTTGTGGAGTGGATCCCTAATAACGTTAAAACAGCCGTCTGTGACATTCCACCTCGTGGCCTGAAAATGTCTGCCACCTTCATTGGGAACAGCACAGCCATCCAGGAGCTGTTCAAACGCATTTCCGAGCAGTTCACGGCCATGTTCCGCCGAAAGGCGTTCCTGCACTGGTACACAGGCGAGGGCATGGACGAGATGGAATTCACAGAGGCTGAGAGCAACATGAATGACCTGGTGTCTGAGTATCAGCAGTACCAGGATGCTACAGCTGAGGAGGAGGGGGAGTTTGAGGAGGAGGCTGAGGAAGAGGCAGAGTAACAGCTAGGCAGATGAACACCTGTAAATTTTGTTTAAAGCTGTATGAACTCTCTCATCAAACCTTCTCTGTCTGTGTTGTGTTCCTCTTTATGTCTCAAAAGTCACTTCAACTGCTGTACAGGCACCATTAAAGCATTTTTCACAGTGCACAAGCTTGTCTCTGTTGTTCCTTTTGGTAGGCTTTTCGGGTGCTGTTTCCGTAAGTCAGCGCATAGGTGTTCCGGAGCTCTGGAAAAGAGAAGCAAAGGATTTGGGGCGAGCCCTGCCTGAGGCAACCAGGCTTCTCCTGCCTCCCAGCCTGGCGTGGGGGTCACTGGATGTGGTGAACTGGTGTTCTTTTACAATCCGAGTGTGCTGGTGGTGGGGATAACGCCTCCTGAGAGGATGGAATTCAGCTCCGAGCTGCATCTAAATTTAGGTACCTGGCGTGTGGACTCCTGTTACAGGCTCAGCAGGAGCTGAGCAGCGCTGACCATAGGAGATACAGGTTCTCCTGTCTGCCTGACACCTTCCCAAGGCAGGCAGGGTTCCAGCAGCAGGTGAGCCAGGCTGATGGGTTCAGTGGTGCAAAGCAGGCAGGTATCCATGGCCTGTCCCAGCCGTGCTGGGGACAGCAGTGACACACCTCACTGCTGAGGAGAAACAGCTCCTGTGTCTCCAGCCACGTTTTAAAATCATATGTGGAGGGTTTAAACCTCACTGGGTGTTACTGCAGCCTCTGCTGCTGAGAGGGGCTGGACACCCCTGTATTAACACCACATTTCTACTGTGGTAGCCGTAGTGTTAGCAGGAGTGACCGGGGTGGGGGAGG